AGTCAGATAAGCAGGTCTGCAAGAGGTCGCAGGAGACAAGGGAACAGATACATAGAGACAATTCAAAAGGAATTCACGAGGAGGAAATATCAGTCTCCCAGTTTCCTACTGAACCATTTGCTGGACGTTGCAGATGATAGCTATGAAAAGGTGCTGAGTGAATTTGCAAGACCACCAACCAAGTCTGTTGCTACACAAACGCTTCGTTCAGGCAAGGGAGCAGAAACTCACTCGATATCAGAACTACCGAAGCATGACAAAGTTATAAATGAACACAAACAGGGTTCAGAGACAAACATTGTTAAGAACAATGAAGAACAAAATGTTCACTCACATGCATCTGTACCAGAACCCATCCCGATTGTCAGCAGCATCCCTTTGCGAAAACGAAGACAGGTCTCAACTTATTCAAACAGTAAGACTTATAGCTTCATAAACGTTTCATTCAATCGTTCTTTGTCTTTGCCAAATATGACAAAATGTTCTACACAGAACACTGACAACCTTCGTAAGAACTACACGGAGGTGGACATAGAAACGTTACTAAGTGAAACCAATTCGACTATGAGGACACGGAAAGCTATGTTCGATGGTGTCAGCTTTCCTCCTTTTTCACAAACAAATAAGGTATATCACAGGTCAAAAGATCCCTTGCCAATCACAAGGACCAACCTCGGATCCAGGCGAATGTATCTTCGCTCAAACAGCTGTGGGGATATCGTGAAGACTGTTGACAAGGTATGTCCAACACTGTAGGGGGAATTGAAATATATAAAATATACCCTTGTTCATTTGTGTCTTTCAGCACATTTATATATTGTATGCCAACTTGAAGATCTTAATATGTTTCTCGGAACTTTAAGCTTCTTCAACACATGTGAGTATACGATGATTATGATTAGGCTTTTTCTTCTTTAAGAGTATTGTGGCGACGAGGACAATAAATTGGAGTCATACATTGTATCATTATCATAATGATGTTTAACAGTGGGCAATGATTTTTTACAATCAGCAATGTTTCTTTCTAATGATATACAATTACATCAACAATTACATCAGATTAATATTCTCATTGAAGCTGATGGACACACCAGCGCCGCCACGTCTTATCGGTTTGTACAAGGATCTTGGCAGCCTTGAGTGCTTTTCAACGGATGAGGATATTGTCAAAATGACGATAAGAAAACGAAACTATCAGATGTTAGACGTGAAGGTCACCTGGAGATCTAACGTCACGGATGACATTCTGATCCTGTACAGGGACCAAGTCGTTGTCTCGGACAAGTTCAAATACAGCAAGGCCCAACACACGTCCAGACAGCGAAAGGAGTTTATATATCTGGAAGACCTACCCATCCGCAATATACATTCGATCTCGGGATCTGACAAGGACACGAACAGATTCATGAATATACCTGTACAAAATGGTCACAAACAAGCAGCATATCGGATGCCACCTGTATACAAAGGAAACCGGCAATGTGTCCCTAAACGGATGTATAGAGCTTTGTTTGATCAAACACGCCATCATTTTGTGCCATGGAAGTAATACCGAGACTATCGTGTGAGTGAGTCAATACTTTATATTTCAATCCGTTTTGAAAATTGCTTCATTTTTTATCAAAGCATGTCAGCTTGAACTGGAAGAAACTTGGAGTGATGCAGGTGTCGTTATTTACCACTTCAGTGAAGCCCGCCAAACAAAACTAGACGATTCTGGTATAGGATCCCACGTTCATGTGTCGCGTGATTCTGTACGGCAATTGCCGCTCCTTAGATTAAAGTGACACTTGTGACAGCATGTACGGTGTGAACGTCCTGTGTACACAGTTACCTCAGCTAATTATTACAGAACCTTAATTTACGTCGGCATTACACTGCGAACATTGTGAAAGTGTCCATATTATAGAATATCCAGATCGATAAATGACCGGTTGGGAGTAAATATGCACACACTGTCTGTAGTAATCCCCAGGAAGCGTGGAATTTCCTGATTGACAGGCCAAGAATTTTAGAATGTTAACAGAAATTATGGATGACGCGATATGTTTTCTCTTCAAAGTTTCTTTACATGATTTGGCTGTAAATACAGGGTAATGTACCACGTAAGAGGTAAGGAGCAACCTTTCTTTCATATTGCTGTAGTTAAATTATCATGCCATGATGGAGTAATTGTAGTAATTTGAAAGAGTCGAGTGTTCTTAACTTCTTTCTGTAATTATAATTTGAGAACTAAGCGGTTACGTACATGTACTCTTCAGTGATCAACCTAGTGTTCAATACAAACAATCCGTTCTAAATGACGTATTGTATCAACCAAACACCTTCATGGGGCCATGCCTCCAAGATGAAACTCCTTCCGTTACGAACTGAAGGACTCATCGATGATCAACCTAGTGTACAATACAAACAATCCGTTCTAAATGACGTATTAATAAATACGGATTGTATCAACCAAGCACCTTCATGGGGCCATGCCTCCAAGATGAAACTCCTTCCGTTACAAACTGAAGGACTCATCGATGATCAACCTAGTGTACAATACAAACAATCCGTTCTAAATGACGTATTAGAAATACGGATTGTATCAACCAAGCACCTTCATGGGGCCATGCCTCCAAGATGAAACCCCTTTCGTTTCAAACTACGAACTGAAGGAGATATCAGGTTCATACAAAATGCCTAATTAGGTTGTCCATGACAGTTAAGTGTCAATCACGCATGCCCATGGCCTCTTGTTAACCTCAAATACTTTCAAGAAAGCCTTTGTTCTCTGACCCATATGCGTCATCCGGGTTGCCATCACACCTCTATTCTGTGTCCAGTATAACGCTGGATAAATCTATGTGAGCCCCGTAAGGTCGTGATCGTTCAACGCCTGTCAATATTTACCTGTGGGCGTGAACCAACCACCTACAGGTAGATGCGCCCGGTATGTGTGCAGCTCAGGTAGATAGGTTTTAACCAGGATGTTTGTTTTGTTGCTGCTGAAAGTCGTGCTCGGGATGTCATCGGGATAGTGTCACGGTGTCTATTGTGTATTTCCGCCAGGACCATCCTGACGAACGTGTCAAGTGCATGTTTATTTCTGCACGTTTTTTGACAAAAACTTAAATATGTTGTACTGCAACACACTTTTGTTATTTTTGAATGATGGAATAAACACGTTTTCGTCACCCGCTGAAAGGTAAAAGTTAAAGCCAAACCTTCACTTCGTATAAACAACCGATGTATATAACGGATATGTCTTTCCCCTATTTTTACAATAAAAACTTTTTAGATTGCTGTAGTCGTACTTAGAACACCGAAGATATGTAACGTCATTTCGGCCATATCATAATGTGATTGCTCACATTTATTTAGAGCATTCGGATTTTTGTATAAAGATACATATAAGTTTACAATATATCTGAATTGAAGTAACACGAATCAATTTTATAATAGCTACTTAAAAATAATTGCAAGTTCATCACGAAAAAAAATGAACACCGTCGCAGAACGTCTATTATCCTCTTATGAACTGTTACAAAATGGAGTCACACATGCACACTTTGCCAGGGATAATTCTGTTATGAATTACGTGTGTACGTTAATGTACAGTTAATATATTTTCAATTCAAACCACGTCTAAGTCTTTGATCATCAAAACATTACAAATTAATTACCCTTCATATATATGAAATGCAAATATGTTGTCAAATCGTGGAATTTTCTAGACATTCTCATTCTGTGGACCAGTCCCTGAGTAAAGCTGACAAAAAATAGAATGAATGTAAATGTTAAACCTGAGTCCGAATATGTGATGAACTCCTACTTGTGAATATATCCCATTATCACTGCTAGCCCTTCTATATAAAGAGTTTCATTTCAATAATTCACTTAGAAGTATATTTTCAAACCTGTTAGGTTTGCTTAACTACATGTACTTATGACTAGATGCAAGGTGATAGCTACGAGCACATACATTGGATTAGCTACCATTATAGCTTGGTGATAGTTATATATAGGTGCTAGCTACGAGCACATATGTTGGATTAGCTACCATTATAGCTTGGTGATAGTTATATATAGGTGATAGTTATGAGCACATATGTTGAATTAGCTAGTATTATACAAATGTACGTCCATGTGTTTGTATACAGTGAATCATTGACACGGACGTGAAGACTTTCGTATGACTCACTCCCAACAAACGAATTCTGTTTAATGATTTTGAACAGTTTTTCCTTCGGCAATAAAGCAAATGTTCCGTAATGATGTATTTTTGTTTTCCTTAGTTTTGGGGATGATTTTGTTGTTGTTTCATTACTTTTTGATGTTTTGTGTTTTTGTTCTTTATCCTTGTTAACTTTTTTGAGACGTTGATGTGACGAACAACGGGGAGAGTTCTATGGATGTACAAAGTATTGTTAATATGAGCGTCGTTTCGGTGTACCTACTAACACTTACCTGATAACGTTGTTAGTAGCTCGTCGCTCACATTAACAATGAAGACGTTGCATATCCATAGAACCGTTGATTGTCATTTTGTGTTATATTTTGGAAGTTTTATAGTATTTTTCCGGTGATTAATCTTCTATTCATCCTTGCTGTTTTATTGGGGTTTTTTTATTATTTCGTTTGGTAGGGTTGGGTGAGATCGATGTTTTACTGTTCGTATATATGTGCACGATAACATACTCGTATACCTGTGCAAGCAGCACATTTCTAATAAAAGATGTACACAAGAGAAGTATAAATGTGATTTTATTCCCATGTTATCGTACGAAAATATTAACTCAGATTTTTCATAAATCTTTTCAAAATAACATAACAATTAACGTCAAAGTGATTTTGACCGAACACAATAGATCTAAATTCAAGAAATATACATAAAGCGATTTTTATCGGAAATAAATAGTTTTTGTTTAATGAACGAAATAACAAATATATATTTTCTTACAAGGCAAATGTATGAGGTATACATACTTAGCAGTGTTTGGAAGTGTCAGACACTGCCTGGTTTCCAGCGAGGCACTTAATGTCTGATGTAACAGCTGCCCATTTTGTAAACATGGAACTCAATTTAACGCAAGATGTTGCTTTAGGCACAGAACGGTTACATAGAAAGAAGATCGCTGTAACATGTTTCAGCTCCATGATTAACTGTGGAAGCACGTTTTTTACAAAACTTGCTGAAATAACTCTTCTTCAAAACTGATGCTATTTACATTAGGCATATATATGAGCACACAAGCATTGTAATATAAAGACAGGGGTAACATTAAAAATGTGTTATTGTTTGTTAAAAATACAATACATTTGTCTTTTAAGTAAATACTGAAATCTGAAGAGATACCTACCTTTAAAACGGGTATAACAAATTTATAAAGTGTATTCACTCACTGATTTAAGTAATTTTTCAAATCCACTTAAGCGAAAGGTTTTTTTAAAGTTGTCTGTCTGTTTGATCGATAATTTGACGGATTTGCATTGTGAGTGTAATAGTTTCTATTTACTGAATGAAGTTGTTCGATCATTAACATTATTGAAATTTAAAACAAAATATATTAAATATATACCTCATGATGGGGAAATTAGAAATTCTCATGACAACTCCCAGGTAGGGATGTTTACACATTAGGTGATGCCTTCCAACTACAGGTACATCTTGATACAAATCGCAACAAGGGTTTCCAGGAGAACAGTAATAAGCGACACTCGACTTGCGGACCCTCCTCCATCGGAGATTATATCCAGGAAGCTGTCGTCGATACCGGGCCCATCGTTGCAGTAGTGGTCTTCGCAGGTGAAGTAGCAGCGGATACTGAAGTCGTCTTCCTCACAATAATCTTCAGGAACCTCCATGGAACCGCTACATCCACGCGCCATAAACGTGGCCTTGCCGGTGTCTGGAGAGAGAATAATGATATCAGCTATTTCAGATCAAAATGTACCCTTGGAGATCCTGGTTAGAATTGGTCTTCAGCAACCCATGCTTGACGTAAGAGGCAACTAACGGGATCGGGTGGTCAGGCTCTCTGACTTTGTTGACACATGTAATCGTATTTCCAATTGCGTGGATCGATGCTCATACTGATGATCACCGGATTGTCTGGTCCAGACTCGATTAATTACAGACTGCCGTCATTTAGCTAGAATATTGCTGAGTGCGGCGTAAAACAACAAACAACAAACCAGCAACAAGACAATCAAAATGCTATCTGACATGAAAACTGTCCTTAATGCTTAACGACGTCTATGCTATCACTCTGATATCTAGGCCGTTAACTCTTCGTTATAGCTTACAATATGGATTATTTTATGCTTTTGAAACAACCTATAATTTGTAATATATGTACAAGACAAAGTACCAGAGAATAACCGGTTTTAACCTCAAACAAACTCTGCTGGGTGTAAATGGCAAAACAGAAGTACAAATTATTATGAATGGATCACTGAAATGATATGACACTGGGTGTTCTGTCCTGCGAACCTTGTTTTAGAATCAGTCTCTAAGCATTCAGTCACTGTCGAGAAACATTTGTCAGATATTTTGAAATTTGTTTCGTAAAATCAGTATGACACATTCACACATGGAACAATCTATATTGCACATGACTTCTTCTGACAAGTAAACGGATGGCAGGGTAGTCATAAAGCGTACTCCGCCGACCTAAGATTTGACCTTTGAATTGTTGAGATTGTTGCTAACTCATAGATCGGCGTCCGTTTTGTTAAATATGACCGAATGACCGATATCTGTTTTTCTATATTTTGGTCCCTTCAGGTTTAAATGGAAAATCACAATCAACCGAATCAACCTTATTATAAAGACTGGTCTATTTTAATTCACAGTTAATACAGTGAAACCCAGTTGGGCTAAATTTAGCTTATTTACAGTAGCCTTGATTAATGCCATATCTATATATCTGTAATTATCATATGTGGGTGCGTGTGTGTTTCTATGTCTGTGTTTGTGTCTGTGTGTCTGTGACTGTGTCTGTGAGTGTGTCTGTGTGTCTGTGACTGTGTCTGTGAGTGTCTGCGACTGTGTCTGTGAGTATGTCTGTCTGTGTGTCAGTGAGTGTGTCTGTGTGTCTGTGAGTATGCCTGTGTGTCTGCGACTGTGTCTGTGAGTGTTACAATTTCAATTTTCGATGTGATGCGGTCAAGGCCTGTTGCCTGTTGTGTTACATTCATTAGATAATGAACATACTTATTAATTATCGATATGATAACCTTATTCTACATTCTGATTTCTTGTAACTACTCGTGATCAGGAAAATGGACCACACCATGCCATGTATATTCTGAAGCTCTACATCGACTCCATGCAACCATACACTTTCTCCAAACACATTTGATTGGATGTGCATGTTTTTCTCGTCCCATCACCACGATTCAATGATCCCCATTTGTAAGATTGATGGATACACCTTATTCTACATTCTGAGGCTAGTAACTATTCGTGATCAGGAAAATGGACCACACCATGCTACGTATATTCTGAAGCTCTACATCGGCTCCATGCAACCATAATGGAGTATGCATGTGTTGTTCCTTTATCAGACACGGTTTGGTGGCCACCATTGATAAGATAGATGGAGGATATAATGTTTAGATAAAGTTGTACTCACCCTTATCGTATGTACTCTGTGTTGTACATTTACTGTTACACCTTAGTCTCCAGTTTCCATAAGTCCAGTTCTTGGGGTAGGAGACACACTCGTACCCTTGACTCAGGATGTTGCCCACGTAGTTGCAGCTGTAGCACATCTGCCGACACACTGGATATTGAAAACAAAATACGTCATGACATTCATATAAATTAATAGTTCAGTCATATGGAATCATATTACTACATGCACTTAAAACAGTACTTCACACACATATAATTAGAACGTTCATTTCAAGAACAATAATACATCAATTATTCGAACTTAATAACGTCTTTTACACACAAATGTAGTGAACCTTTAGGGAGTATTGTAAGTCATGTACTTAAAAAGATTAACACCGTGCATTTGAAAATGGCGAATATGTCAAACACTTGAAAGTCGTACGCCAGTCAATTAAATAATAATTACGTTATGTAGTCAATGCACCTAAAACAAACGAAACCTTTGTATCTGCTTTACCTTCTAAAACGTCAATATGCTATCTCCATGTACATAAAGGGTCGGGTGATGGGTTGGGGACTTTTAAACTGATACTGGGCAAGGCTCCAAACATTTCCTTTCTAACGATCTACTGTAATCCAAAGGAAATCTGATCTAGGGGTAAATTTGCGTTACCTTCAAGCCAAAACAGTATGTTTCTAAAAGTTATAAAATCACATTTCAACACTGAAATTTAAACTGCTTAATTGAACCGAAATAAGAATGAACCCAACATATACTATAAATATACAATTAACAGTGCAGGGCGTTTGTTTTCTAAGAATGAATTATTCCACTGTGTAAATATGATTTATGTTAAAGACTACGATAACTGAAACACATCTTACACCATACTAGACATACTGAATGTGATCAACACAAAATATAATATCCACAAAGCATGATTTCTGGATTTTATTATTTCATTGTTTTATTGACCCAGGTTTTATCAAGTGATTTATTACTTTGCATACCAAGGACACATATCCTTCTGTTCTGTCATGCTCAAGGCATTTTACTTCCACGTTCTTAATTACAGCATAGAGAAATATGACATTTTATACATAGTTAGGATGTAAGCATAAGGTAATACCAATAGATAAGTGAGATTTGCAGACACACGTTATTGTTCCAGATTAATGTGTTTACACTTGAAACCATACACCAGCATAACTACAAATATATACAGAAGAGACAAAATATGTCTTGTTTGACGTACAAGTTGAAATAAAATTCTAAGTGTTGTAGTGTTGATCTTTGTAATAACACTCACCACAGACAGATGCCAGGGTAGCCAGAACTAATACTGCTGGATGCTTCAATACACTAATTTGTCGCGCCATCTTGATGTCGTGGCACCCACAGACGTTGTAAAGCAACTATATGTTGGTGTTGCAGTTGTTATTCCATTGCATGCAGTGATATTACATCACAGTCATCACAGGAACATTGACTGGTCCAAACAATGGTTATCCACGAAGTATGTCACACACCGACTGTTGAATATTCTTCAAAGACACTGACCAAAAGGTACATCTGTACACAATTTGTATCCAGTTTCTTCTTTGGTACGTGGTCGCTATAGATGGTGTTACAGGCTGTTCAGGTAGGAGCACAGGACTTCCACCTCGACTGCTGATGGTAGACTAGCCCTGGACGTAGCCGCTCCTCATTGTGTACATTCGGGGCAAAGCTTGATCCGTCACATTCTCAATATTTATTTTCTGCAGAGAATGTCCCATGACCCGAATCAGACTCGACTTTAAGTGCTTAGCAAACTCTTGTTACAATTTGTTCATCGCAGCTAGACATGGGCTCCACGCACATTTGCCTACTCGGGAACTCAAATGTCACTGAACAAAGAGGGAAGGTGTGAACGTCTTTGTTTAAAGGATAATAGTTAAAGTTGCAGTTACCAAGTATTTTAAAAGTCCGTTTGTAATGATGGAGACCAAACACTTTAGTAGGTAAGTTGAACTCTGCACATGCCAGGGGCCATTGTAATTGAAGCATATTTTACTAAATTAAATATAATTTAATTTATCATTTCCGTGAAATATGCTCATTACCTTTGTGAAAATACATATTGTAATTCGTAGCATGGGTAACCATTAATGCATACAAGTATGTTGGTATAGACAAATGATATTAGTCAACTTTCGTATGAGTTTTACCAGAATCATCATTCAAATAATCCAACGATTACAGCAAGTCCATAATAGTATTATAATATATATTTCTTTGCTGTCGCGTCTAAGATTTTGATAAATTATTTTCTAACGTGTCTTCAAAGTAAAATATCTTTCAAACGCATAAACATATGTTTGTGTATTAATATTCCCTAATATGGTCAGAGTAACAATATGGGGCAACTCTGTCATGGTGACGTGTTAAAATAACCTTATTCAAAGGGAGGTAATCCAGGGAGGCCAGTATGTAGTTGATGCCGATTAGGGGGATTTTGTCGTTCCTTCCCGTCTCGTTGAAAGAAGAATCGTTGACAAATATCCCAGCTTACTGGCTTTACAACTTCAAATGGTCACGTTCAGTACGAGTCTTCAAAGCAAGAAGCTGCCAATAAACCTTTAAAAAGTGTCACATATGCGCCTATTATTATTTTATCGTACTTTTTAAAGCGTTTTCAATGTATAGAAGTTCAGACGGTGTTGCTTTTATGTGCAGCATACACTGAAAGGTTTTGTGTGGTTAGAAGGATTAGGCAATCTCAGGAAAAAGTTAAATTATTTACAAATCGTGTGTACTTGTGGTGGTGTATGTAGTGTTATTTTGGGTTTATATTTGCAACATAATCCGGAATTGTCACTGCACCTACATCAAGAGTCAGGTGTATAAATATCAGGTAGAACAGAGTGGGTTGACATATAGAGGATCAAGGCAGGTCGTGCTTCAGAATCACCTGGAGCGACGTTGTGAGCTACAACAGAACCAGTCAACCTCAAGTGACGTTTTTCTTTTGCATTTTTGTTAAATAGTTTCGAAACCCAGAAGACAGAGGTGTATCTATGCTCACCAAGTCTACTTGAAAGCTTGCACATGGTGCTGACAAATGTTTTCAGAACGAATCTTGGATTCGTACCTTAGTTTATACAATGAAGGACATTTACATTGTAACCACGCCTCCGGCACAAGAAACGTCGGTGTCTTAGAGTGAGTGAGTGAGTTTAGTTTTACGCTGCACTCAGCAGTATTCCAGCTATATGGTGGCGGTCTGTAAATAATCGAGACTAGACCAGACAATCCAGTGATTAATAGCATCGAGCATCGATCTACGCAATTGGGAAACGATGCGGTGTCTTAGACGACGCCATCCCAACATGCCCTCAACTCCTACACTGACAAAACGTTCTACGCAACATATTTACATTTTATGTTCAATATTATGGAATATACACTGTCATTGCAAATATTGGAATTAACAATAATTGCATAATAAAAAGCAATACAGGCATAAAGGTGATACATGAGTGAAGACATACCTAGATCTTGAAATTTCCTCTCTTCTTTGTCATATTTGGGCGACATTGCTTTCAGGGTTAAACTCTGAACATATTTTGATATCCAGGCATATTGTGTATTTGGTTCAAATATTGAATGTTCCAATTCACATGTGAGAAACACAGTTAAAGATGCTAAATTCTTTGAAAAAGCCACTATTTGTACGAGTGAATAATTCACATTGTTATTAATCTCCCCCGAGGAGGAACGATTGCGTTATGGCAGACGTATCGATTGCTGTAGAGAAAGTAAAGAATCCATCCAGGTATTGTTTAGATATCATTCAATGGGAATACACAAATATATAAAGTAATGTCAAATCAGTGTAAAAGATTTAGCAGTCCAATACAGTCAGAGGTAACCTATAGCCAGTCGAAGTTTAAACCAGAGGAAATACCAGGCCTGTTGGGTTTTTGGCAGGTTTATCAAATCCGATGATTGTTGTATTGCCAGAACAGTCTCTCTTTGAAGCGATGTTGGCTCAAATAACCAATGTACGTGGCCTGTTTGACTTGATTCGATTTCTTTCGTTCATTTCATCGTGCTTTCCATCGTGATTTTCATTATTTTAGTTCACACATTACTTGAATATTTTATGCTGACTTACAAAAGAAAGTAACCCGTTGTGTTTGGCGGAGTACTTTCTTAGAAACAACGTAAATATTTCGAAAAAGTGTCTTGATCGTGATCTGCCACAGCACCAGGCATATCCTATACAGTGTTGTGCGAGGGATCTCATGAAAATCATGATTTTGTTGAATCAAACGTGTATGTTTTGCGTCAACCGTATAAAACACAGTCGATTGAGATTGTTAGTAAAAGACACACTTAAAAGACACACTTCAATCTCGCACATGGTGACTTCGAACAACCATATTGCCAGAACGTTTGGCAGACCATCATTGACCAACTAATGAGCCGCATCAACCAAACTAGACAGACATCTGCGAGTCCCAGACGAAGATTGGCCGTCCTGCAAGATGACCATCAGCCGCGCATTTTGACCATCAGCTGCGCAACCGGATGTTCACAGTGAAGTCATCAGCATGGACACCATTTGGTCACCGCATCCGCAGGTCAACAATGATGCGACGACTGCGTGCTTTTAGCCTATCGACCGTTTCGGGGGATGGCATTAACCCGTCAACGTTGGTGGAATTGTCTACGTTGGAATGTGAGAGGCTATCAACGACGGAATTTGGTACCTATCATTACTCGAGATGAAGTACTGGTATTAATACAAGCGTCCACGATGATTTGTGTGTCAAACCATTATTTTGAAACCTGTGCTTGACTGATCAAAATCGGGTAGTTTCATATTTTACATACTACAGTACAACAGTTATGTTAGACCCCCATGCAGATTTTGAACATATTGCATGAAGTGAATAGAAGGTTCATGCCAAATGAAATATATTTTTGTGAAGGGAACCACAGATTGAGGTTGTAGATGCCTGGTATTGTCACTATTTGATAGTAATTCACAAACACGACCTCATAATAAAATTGCTATCGCAAAATAAACTTCGTTTTAGCAGCTCTTCCTGTTTGTCTTCTTTCTATTTCGTATATTTTTGTTGTCGTTTTTCTTCATCTATTTATATTTGTGGTATTTTGTTTTGTTCTGTTTGTTGTTGTACTGTCTTTTGGGGCTGTTGTTTTGCTTGTTTGTTTGTTGTGGTTGTTGTTTTGTATATGGGTTATGTTTATTTTTTATTTTTTTATTTATTTATTTATTTTTTTTAGAGAGGGAGTGCTTCAATATATTTTACACTGAACAAGGATGTACATTTTTTCTATGAGGATTTTGTTAGCCTTGGTGTGTGTTCAGTACCATCCTAACAGAGGTTCTGTACCATTTCCAAAACACACTAACGAAATAGCCAGCTTTATCACGCAGTATCGTTAGAGTGGAAGCTCGGTTGTTCTATCCCCTATAAGCTGCCGGGATTGATGTTACCCAAGGCCTTTCAGATGGCGGTGAGGGATAAAACAAAGATTGATCGGTTTGGATTCAGTATACTGTGTGGCGGGAAGCTGTGATATCAGCATGGGCTTGCTCTTTCAAACCATACGTACGAACGTATGTACATATATTAATCTATCCATACATGCATGCATCTATGAACATGCATGCATACAACGTGCATACATACATACATACATACATACATACATACATACATACATACATACATACATACATACATACATACATACATACATACATACATACATACGTACGTACGTACGTACATACATACATACATACATACATACATACATACGTACGTACGTACATACGTACATACATACGTACGTAGATACATACATACATACATACGTACATACATACGTACATACATACATACATACGTAGATACATACGTAGATACATACATACATACATACATACATACATACATACATACATACATACATACATACATACATACATACATACATACATACATACATACATACATACATACATACATACATACATACATACATACATACATACATACAACGAATACCATTCTTATTTACGATTACACAATCTACACAATTGTCGTTGACTCTAGTGCCAAAGAAAACTCACTAGAGGCACCCAGTTCAAAAGAGAGACGAAAGTACACATTTCTGTACAGTATTAAATAAACAATTAATAGTTTAATGCTTAAACTACACACTTGTCTCACTTGAGATAAAGCATTAAGACATATCTGTTTCCTTGAATGCGATAAACATGTATTATAAAAATATTTTTAAACATTTTAAATACTTTTTACAAACGCCATTCGTGACTGTGAAGCGGGGGCTTGAATCAGTCTTAGCACGTTTTGTTGTGTCACATCCTGGGATGTCACATCTCATCGCGGAACCACGGCAACAAATCATTAACAATGAAGCATGTGACTCCGGATAGAAAAAACTAACACTTTAAAGCAGATATTCTGGCTAACAACAAAACAGCTCCTTTCCTTCCAATCTTGCCACGTTTTACCAGAAGGTCACGAATGATCCATTAATCCAAGGCTTTTAGTTTGTATTCCCTGGGATAAAGTCCATATAAAACAATGCTGTGAGGAATTAGCTTGAACATCAAACATCCAATGGGCAAACTCAAGCAAGTCGCCAAACATTCGCCCGTTGTCCAAAGATATTTAGAGTATTTTCTTAAGACCGTCTTCCGCGGAGAGAGGAAAGAACTGTATACACAGCAAAAAAGTGACTTTTCACCTGGAGCTATTGCAAATGTTCCAAACCTTCTGACGACGTTTGTAGAACACATGCGCACCGCGTATGAATCGATGCTGCACTCTGTAGTAAATAGTTCTTTTGTGCAATGCTGCACACATGTGCAACTATAAAGTCATAGGTATCAGGTAGGAGTTTGTCTTTGCAAATGTCGTAGGAAATAGAACGAACTACCGACTATGGACATTTATTATCATTTTGTAAAAAGACATATAACCTCCGTCATCGATGTCATCGATGATAACCGTCTCAGCTTGATATGAAGGTGTGTGGTCCTGTGCTTCAGCTAGGGTCACGAATCAGTTGAAGTTAAGCAACGTCCAGCTCGGAGAGTCCTTGCATGGGTGACCGTGTTTAGCAGCTTGACTCCTGAGAGTTTCTAGGACTTGAGTCCTGCCCCACAACGAAGAATGTGATACACGTGGTCTCACCTTAGGCAAGTGAGTTTGTTCAAAATTGCCTCTGTTCACCCAGTAGAAAATGGGTACCCGGTTGGAAAAAGTCATGTGACTATAACCTTCTAGCGCCTAACAGGCAGCTTGGGTTATCCGGGGTAGTAATAATAATCAGATTCTGATAAAGCGCCGCGAGCAATCACTTGGTGTTTGAAGGCTGTGCGCTGTAAAGGATGGCTTATTATTATTATTATGAAAAATGGGGGCGGTGGTGTAGCTTAGTGGTTAAAGCGTTGGCTCGTCAGGCCGAAGACCTGGGTTCGATTCCTCACATGGGTATAATGTGTGAAGCCCATTTCTGGTATCCCCCGCCGTGATATTGCTGGAATATTGCTAAAAGCGGCGTAAGACCATACTCACTCACTGATATGTAAAGTGAATGTATGTATTCAAGACTTACCCTGTATTTGCAGACCTTTGCACATGAAGCAGGTTGACCTTCTGTTCATTTCTGATCAAGATAATTGGTGTTCTCTGACATTTACATAAAGGTTTTCTCGTACGAAGATCAGATTATAAACACCATTAATCACGATCAGGCTGTTTTTTTCAAAAGGTCAAAGAAGTTTCATACTTTGTGTGCACAGGTTCTTGGACTATCTAAGGATGAATAAAAGCGGTTCATTCTCATAAGAAATCTCTTGCTGAAAGAGAATCAATTGTACGATTCATATCATACAATTATATCATGCGAATCAAATTTGTAAATCACTATCAAATACAGATGACACCAGGTGTTCACAAGAGAACATAGATTGGGCAATATCCCTGTCATTTTTACTGAAAAACGTTCGGACGTGATATGACGTTTGCTCGTCACACTGAAGACCCGGTTCGATTCCCCATTGGTACAGTGTGTGAAACCCATTTCTGGTGTCCCCCGCCCTAGTATCTATAATGAGCCACAATGGACACGGAGATACTGGTTGCTCAGGTGAGTGAAGTGCCACTCTGTTCTTCTTTCACTATTTGCATTGCAAATAAATTTACTTATGAACAAATACACTTTGGTCGACCCCTCTGGGCATGTGACTGTACTATTGACTTAATCCGCTTTTATAGTGCTTGCCACGTGGCATACCATCTCGCAGGTTAAGATGGATACCCAATGTGACACAATGCGGTGCTACTGTGCCTTGTGTTATCCCTTGTGTTATCCCTTGAATACCCATTTCTACTTTTTTAAAGCGTTCTTAAAGTGCTCGGGGCAGTAGGTGGCCCAGTGGTGAAATCGTTCGCTTCAAACCTAAACCATTCTCTTCCCACAGAGGTTACTTGTCATATCTTCCTACGAACCTCTGATCTAATACGGCCATATTTCCCGGTTCTCGTAAAATCCCCTAGCGGCAAAAGATCGCAACACGAATTATCTCCCTTCTTTCTATCCAATCAGAACACGTGTTACATCGACTTAGATTCAACTTGACTAACACAAGCAAATGTTGGGCCACAAATATCCCCCCATCTGCCGGGGACTTGTGTTGATGTTACACACAGGACGTTTAATGGCTAGCTTGTCCGTTGTCAACGAGGGCGATGGAGACGCCACTGATCCGCCATAACATGACTGAGTTCTGTCTAGAAGAAACGTTTGCGCATCGCGCAGGGGAAGAAGTTTAGTTTTCTCGAAGCATACGGAAATTACCGATGCCTTGCGAATGATCACTTTTGAAACAACGTCGCTGATTGCACAACTAAATCTGATTGCCTCCAATCACGAGTCTTGAACGCTCACACCATGAAAGGGCCGTATTAGAACAGAGGTTACGTAGGAAGATATGACAGGAGTAACCTCTGTGGGAAGAGAATGAACCTAAACATGAGTCTCATAAACCTATTCAGACAATGACCTACCTTTCAGCCGATCCGAATTTTCTCGTGTGAAAGTGAAAATAGACATCGCAAACAACTATGGTTACACTGAATTCCAATTCCTTGTTTCATAAGAAAATGGTGTTTTATTTTTAAACTTTAATAACATCGTATTTCTATATTTCATGGCGAGGTGTAGGCAGCATGACCTTAAATCAGACGTCACAGATTGCCCCAGTTTGATAAGGTCGTAAAATGATTCAAAAGATATCTGGCTCACTGGTTACACTGTTATGTTTTTATTTGCGCTTATTCAGTGTAGTTCTGTAACGAACAATGTGGTTGATATAATATCAAGTCCGTACCAGACCGCCAAACTTTTCTAGCGGCAGAGCCTCGTTTTGAGATTTCCACGATTTCCAGGTTTCTGTTTGTCAGTGCTCGCTGTACGACAGAGCACGCTGCACGACATGTTTGCAGGGATTATAAGGAGCGTAGTATTGCAATATACAAGTGCTTAGATGTATCAAATAATACTGATTAATATTTATGTATCCAGTTAAATGAATTGGTCTCAAAATTCTGGACTGGTTATTGTACCAAGTTGCGCAATAGGGTGGAACCCAGTCAACAGGAAACGAGACTGTTGTGTAATCAATGTAATGACTTGCCACGGCGTAGGCGCGGGTTCAATTCCCCACAGGGGAACAATGTGTGAAGCCCATTTCTGGTGTCCCACTCCGTGATATTGCTGGAATATTGCTATAAGCGGCGTAAAACCAAACTCACTTAATCACTCTTAAAGTAGTCTGTGGATGCAGGAATGTTGCTCAAATATAGGGCACTTTGAAGTCATCCCAGCTATAATTGGATTTATATATATAGTGCATGCTCAAGGCGCTGGTATTTTGTCTCTCGATCATTGGATGTCAATCTCAACGACACATGTTATTATCAATCTCAGCTCCCTGGGGACCATACTACTCTTACTGCCACAAGTCGCACCGAGTTATTGCGGCTTTCCCATCCTTACGAGGTACCCATCCACAGCTGGGTGGACTGGGACACATAGTCACAGTACTTTGTCCAAGTTTACTGCACGTTGCTGTACCCGCAACTAGGTGTTTGCACGTATTCATGTGTCCACCATCTGGTCATATACCAACGAATTCGTGAGTTGTTTTAAGTGCACAGGGTTGTGTACTGTATACTAGGGGTTGTGACAACACTGAAAGAGTCTGCACACAAAGTTGACTCCAAGGTTTTTACACCCGGTCACAGGTGGGCTCGATCCCGGCAGCTCATGCTCGCTGGATCACTAGCCTGGCACCTTAGCCAGCTCGCCCACCAAGCCCCCAACAGCAGTCAAACAGTCGTATGGAGGGCCACTATGATTCTTCATGCACAGGTCAAAGTATGAAGCACACAATGCGGTATCACCAGACTACTTTATTTCTGGTAAGTCAGTGGTAGAGAAGTGACACAAGAACATCGATATACCCAAAGATTAAGTTCTACTTCCTGGCCAGAATACCTTGGACTGTCCGGGAAAATCAGCAAACCAAAGAAACAGAACTCAAAGAAGGGGAGCACAATTTGGGAGGCATATCTTTTACCTCATGTCTCTCCTCGATATTTCACATTGCTCAATGACGAAGTTGTTGTAACCTCCCCGAAATGTACACAAACATCGAATTACATGACATGTAAACAATTTCCCAAAGGTTGCCAGAAAGTTAATACGCTTATTGTTACTTACATGTGATAGAGCAAAATAATGTGGCTTCCAGACTGTCAAATTAGTAGATCTATTAATATACTTGTTAAGTCAATGTAAAATTATTTTTCTAATCAACAGTACTTGAGTACATGCATTCGAGATTTTTCTGTGTGTTTGCGTTGCAGCATTGTTTTCTGGCCTGAATTCCGGGAATGGCCATTTGATATTCGGGTTGAGGGGTGGGGGGACCCGTGTTTCCCTACAAAGAATCAATCTTGCACTATACATGCTAAATGTTCTTAAGAGATTAGTGTGGATTCCAAATTGTTTCGTTGTCCGTATTTTAGAAGGAAATGGGATGATTAAAGCCCTAACTGAAAACTCACAGTGCCCCTCGCTTGAATATCAAATGGCAGGTCCATTATTTGGATTATCAATACAAAACTTCGTTCATTATCCAAGTACTCTGCAATAGTATTTTGACGTCATGTCACACACGCTAGGAACACAAGTATTGCTAACATCGTCCCCGTGACGCTGTGAGGTTGCGTCGCCTTGTTCCAATGTCCGTAGTTTTCTGTGACCTGTGGCCTCTCGTGTGTGTCAGGGTCAAAGGTCAGTCCCTCGTTGCAGAAGTCGCCAATGCACGTTGTTTTGCACGTCACGAACCATGCGTCATCCGTACAGCCATTGCCCCAGTCAACACTGCACGTTCGAAAGAACGATAAAATTATCTTGTCCTCTGAAACCAAAATACAGTGAATGATAGTAAGGTGACGTCATTATTAAGAGTCAAACTATTCAATTCATATCAGGCAGTCAATGGCAGCTGAAACTAATATTGGTAAAGTTGTCGTCAGGGCAAGTAAAAACAATTCAGGACAAATCACCACTGTCATAGTCATCACATGCTTCCTTGAAGGAGCGACAGGGAGACCAAGGGCGTAAATCTACTCAGGGTAAAAGACCTGGTTCGATTCCCGAAATGGACAAACGAATGAATTACATTTCATGGAGTAGCCTGAGTCCCATATTTTTGGGATACTGCTAAAATGAAGAGCAAAAGCTCGCTAGCTCGGCCATCCTTTGAAATAGTTTCAAATGGGATGAGGTTGACGGAGCCATGAACAAGTGACTCGTGAACGTTAAAGTCATCCATTTTTCGTGACGTTACCAATATTTCTGAGGAGGTCCCAACAAGATGTATGTTTGTTGTATTGCCTCACACATCAACAGTCGAGCTGAAAGACGACAGTACGTAAAGTTGTATACTCCCCAGGGAGTTGAGATTGATAATACGATGGGCCACTCAGATTGACATCCAGTGAACGAGGGAAAAAACAAAGCGCCTTTGAGCAGCTGAGCTGAGCTGGATATCGGCGCTATACAAATGTTAGTATGTATGTATGTATGTATGTATGTATGTATGTATGTATGTATGTATGTATGTATGTATGTATGTATGTATGTATGTATGTATGTATGTATGTATGTATGTATGTATGTATGTATGTATGTATGTATGTATGTATGTACGTACGTACGTACGTACGTACGTACGTACGTACGTATGTATGTATGTATGTACGTAAATCATCGGCTCTCCGCAGACCATCCAGAAACTGACATCATGACATCGATCTACGCCAATGTGAAACAACGGCATGCACCAACCATATCAGAAAGCCTGAGCACCCAATCCCGTTAGTCGCCTCTTACGACAAGCATCCGTCTCTGAAGGCTAATTCTAACCCGGATCTTCTCGGGGCAACAATAGGCGGTTGAACTAACGTCAGTGAATGGGATCGACAAACACACCTGTTCTAACAAACATAAAACTCCCCTGATTACATAACACGACTAACTCACAAGTCGGAGCTCTGAAGGATTTGGTGGATGGAAGTGAACAAACTAAGTGGCTTCATCGTTAAAATACACGGGTTCTTTCATGCAGTGGGGGAATTGACTCTGTTATAGTAACAGTATCAGTGACGGCGAAAAAGTATTGTATTATGCCGCGTTTAACGATATGCCGGCATTGCCACGGTGGAAGAAACCAGAAATGATTTCATGGATTGTAACCCATGTGCAGACAGCTGTTTGTAAAACAATTACTCTCGACCAGACTGACTGACTGACTGAGTTTAGTTTTACGCCGCTTTTAGCAATATTCCAGCAATATCACGGCGGGGGACACCAGAAATGGGCTTCACACATTGTGCCCATGTGGGGAATCGAACACGGGTCTTCGGCGTGACGAGCGAACGCTTTAACCACTAGGCTACCCCACCGCCCTACTCTCGACCAGACAATATTGCGGTTAACATTGGGAAACGATTTCAGCGATGCCCCCCTTACAAGATAGCACACGTTGCTGAAGACCAATTCTATCCCGGGTCTTTGCAGGTGCTTATTTTAATGTCATGCTGGTCATACTTGAAATACTAAACCAACTGACCCACAGTAAACTACGGATATAGCGAACTCAGAGACACCAACTTTAGCTCGTGATAACCGTAGTTTGTTTTAAATATTTCGAACCGCCTCCATGGTGTAGTGGTTAGAGCGTCCGCCCGGAGAGCGGAAGGTCGCGGGTTCGATCCCCGACCGCGTCATACCAAAAGACGTTAAAATATGGTACTTGTTGGTTCCTGCCTGGCGCTCGGCATTAATGGGTAGAACAAGGAGTGGTCGGCTCGGAGTCAGTATAATGTGTCTGAGTGGGGTATTCATGCTTCACTGCGGCATGGTATCTCAGTGGGCTAGCACTATAAAACCAGCTTAAGTCTGGGCTAGTACAAGCAGCCGCACATACACATACACACGCATGCACGTCGTCATATGAGCGAAATATTCTCAAGTACGTCGTTAAACCCAATTTCACCTCACCTCACCTTTAAACATTTCTACTGAAATATAGAACAAAAGGCAGCCACCAAAACGCAATTGACTGTCAACCCAAGTTCGTTGTAAGAGTGTTCGATATAAACGTAGTTTACTTTAATTGTAACCTTATGTAAACGTTCATTTCCTTCTTCCAAACTTCATGTTATTAGGGGCGGTGGGGTAGCCTAGTGGTTAAAGCGTTGGATCGTCACGCCGAAGACCCGGGCTCGAATCCCCACATGGGTACATTGTGTGAAACCCATGTCTGGTGTCCCCCGCCCTGATGTTGCTGGAATATTGCTAAAAGCGGCGTAAAACTAAACTCAGTCAGTCAGTCAGTCATGTTATTAGGTTTTATTCGTTGGTTCGTTATTACCATAGTCAGCAATATTCCAGCTATATCGCGGCGGTCTGTAAATATCGAGTCTGAACCAGACAATCCAGTGATCAACAGCATGAGCATCAATCTATGCAACTGGGATATGATAACATGCATCAACCAAGTCAGCGAGCCTGACCACCCGATCCCGTTAGTCGCCTCTTACTACAAGCATGGGTTAGTGAAGGCGAATTCTAACCCGGGTTTATGTGAAGTGTTAAATATAATAGCATGCAATAAACGTTAATATTTCCAAAACAAAATAAACATACGTTTACTGAAGACCTCTTGCGTAACACAAAAGTTTCCACATTTTATTTGCTGGTTGATGGGAAGTTCCTCCGGACTGGTCAAGCAGTCCATTGGCCCCGGGGTGTTATGGTCGTAGGAACAGGTATAGCACTTGAAACCTGAAAGATACATGGCAAACATACTGACTGTCGACCACCAGAGATCACAGCAACATGTGATAATGGAATACGGGTAAAAAGATGAGTGAATGAGTTGGCAGTAACAGAGCTTTCCAGTTTAAACATGGCGTCAGATCCACGTTATGTAAGAAACAGAAATTCATCACTTTGGAGTGATTGAGTGAGTTTAGTTTTACGCCGCTTTTAGCAATATTACAGCAGCATCACGGCGGGGGACACCAGAAATATGTTTCACAAATTGTACCCATGTGGGCAATTGAACCCTAGTCTTAGGCGTGACGTGCAAACGCTTTAACCACTTGGCTACCCCACCGATCATTTTGGAGATACTCAAGCACGGGTATGTATAAAACTAGAACCATGATCGGGGCGCATCTGGATTCGAACCCACAATCGATGGTTTTCTGGCGTGTAGAACAGCGAAATGGCGCGCCTGCAGGACTGGCTGACCTGTGTCCTCGTAAAGTACAGCAAGGTCAGGCATCTCTATGACTGCTCAATGTACGTATATGTACATTGTATACATCATCTTCCTGTTTGAAGGAACACAATGCCGCAAACTGGGCTTTCAAAGATTTTTGATATTTGTATTACATTTCATAGATTCGTAATTTTACATTTTGCTTTCTGCCCAGCAATTTTGTGTTTTGTGCATAGGTTTTCGATAAATGTGTGGTCACTTACATATTTCGAGTAGTGATATACAGCAGTTATGTGTAGCTTGCTTTTTACCCAATATGCATTCAAAGCTTACGAAATCTCGATTTATACCAATACTTTGTCTATTTGACAAATGCTCATTATGTGTTTATAACGTTTGAAGAATGATATATTTGAAAAACCACACAATCGTTATCAATGTAACATAAATTTAATCAATTAATACATTTATATCAGAATTAATTTCATGGGTGGGGATTTTAAACTAAACTGTCGCACAAAAGAAACAGATATATCACATAGAATCTCAACCGACTGCGTTGGCGTATAGCATGCACGTACCCTTTAACAAAATCAGCACTGTAAAGAATATCGGGTGTGTTTAGGCAATACATCCACTGCTTGTGTGACTTGTAAGTCAGAATCAAAGCACTTTCAAATATTGAAGTTGTTTTTGTTTTCGTTTTGTTTTGTTTTTGTTTTGCTATTGGGGTTTGTTCTTGTTTTTGGTTTTGTTTGTTTTTTTACTTGTTTGTTTTGGGGGTATTTTCGGTTTTGAGTTGTTTTTTCTTTTTTTGTTATTGTTGTGGGGGAAGGGGAGGGTTAATAATAAAAGCAAGTGAGTATGTCAGCTTATATGAGGAGTAAAGACCAGATCCATGCAGGTCCTGGAACCGTATCTTTCAACACAGGAACATTTATAGCAAACAGCCAGTATTCGTGTGCAGGAGGCCCAGCCCAACAAGACGTTCCCCTTTAAGCCCACGGCTACCGTTTGATAACGGGACATTGTGAGACAACATTCCTATCCAGATCACTCACCATGATAACGACAAACAAACAGACGAGTGGATGGGATTGTCCTGTTTGTCACACTAAGTGGGTTGTAAACTGACAAACTTTCTCGCCATGCTACACTGACTGACTGACTGAATTTGGTTTAACGCCGCTTTTAGCAATATTCCAGCAACATCAGGGCGGGGGACACCAGAAATGAGCTTCACACATTGTACCCATGTGGGGATTCGAACCCGGGTCTTTTTGGCGTGACGAGCCAACGCTTTAACCACTAGGCTACCCCACCGCCCCCTGGCCACGCTACAAATGTCTACCATCACGTATGTATTGTGAGTGAACAAGGTTTCAGCAAGAATCGAACAACAGTTATCTTACCTTGAGAAAACAATAATATTGTCAGTTTATCCCGCATACATGTAAGCCAATATTGCAGCGAAAACAAATTCATTACGGCTAAGATTGTTATTACACGTTTTCAGTTGTTTTATACCAAATGTTTGACCTATTTTATGGAATTATATTCACTTTTCAGTGTTATGACACCCTAAATGGGAACTCCTTATTGAGAAGTAAACACTCGAGCTCAGTTCACGTGTTGGCCGCATTGCCTAAGCTTGACATAAATAAATACTACTGTCGCCTATAGTTTGTCAATTCCCAAACTCATATAGGAAGGTGGGGACACGAGCAAAACATTAAAAACATTTCAATTTCGTTTTAACATTGCATTCTTCGAGCTTTAATTCGAGATGCTGACCATCATGCATATTTGCCCAGTGTATTCAAAACACTTATTTCGGAATTTACAAAAATTGCCATAACAGATTGCTATATCAATATCTAAGTTTCTGACATGGTAGAGTCTAAACAGAACATGACATGTTGTTGCTGTTGTTTGTCACACACTAGGCTACAAATTGTTGTTTATTTGTGTGTGTATGTCAACGGAAAAGCTCGTTTACATCACATAAAATCAAAAATTCAAGAATTCAAGCAAACGTTTACGAATTGGAAAAAAGCAAAAGCGACGAAATCATATAAGGGGACATATCGCTAAATGCAGTATCGATTGTAAGATTCCGACTATGTAATTAAAATGTATTTATGAATTGCGATTAAAAAAGAGGATAGTAGGTGATCGCAAACTGTAAGCATGTCCTACTCCATCGATGTCGGTCGATACTAACACATGCAAAGGCAAGGCAATTATTCACCTAATATGAATACAGGAACGTACTGTACAAGTGAAAATGGTAATTGAATGTATGAAACATACATGATGATGCTATGCCAGTGATGTAGGAGGAATAATGGATCATGTTATGAAGCTCTAAATGATTATACCCGTAATGATCCGGGTTAAAATTGGTCTTCAGTAATCCATGATTGTCGTAAAAGGCGACTAACAGGATCGCATGGCCAGGCCCTCTGACTCGGTTGACACATCTCATCGTATCCCAATTTCGTAGATTGATGCTCATGCTGTCGATCACTGGATTGTCTGGTTCAGACTCGATTAATTATAGACGGCCGCCATATAGCTGGATTATTGTTGACTAAATGAGGAACGGTGGGGTGGCCTAGTGGTTATATAGCGTTCGTTCTCCAGGGTTCGATTCTCTTCATGTGTGAAGCTCATTTCTGGTGTCCCTGTCGTAATATTGCTGAAATATCGCTACAAGTGACGTAAAACCCAACTCAGTCCCGGAGTAAAATTACCAACTTTAGCAGTTATCCAGCATAGAGCGTTGTTGTTTTTCCTTTAATAGGATTTAAGTTTATAATGAGAAAAAGAATAGCTTCTAGATTCGACAGCGATCATATTGTTTTCCACCGACGTGTTATAATTAATTGAAAACAATCAAAAATTGAAGCAGCACACAAGCGTCCTCTCATAAATACTTGATGGAAACGATTTCGAAGAAACGTTTACCATATGGAGATTCATTTTCATCTGTAAAGCATTATTTCATGAAGTTCTGTCTACACGTACATTGTAGATATGAACCAACGATAAATAGCCGATGTCCAAGGATGAGATTTTTAATTATTACAACACTATAACTCATATACATGTATACAGTAACCAAACTACGTATATTCAAGCTGTTATTACTGCCACTAATGATTAAGAAATAGTATTTATAAAAGATTACAGGATTTAATTTTGAATACTTCTTTGAATAGATATTTATTACGTTGTAATATTCTCAGATCCTGTATATCTGTAATAGTAATAGTAACGATCGTACATGCAATGTGCGAAGTAGTTTCCAGATTTTGCTAGCAAGTCGGGCTAGATACGCCTGAAAGTTCCTAGCCCATAAAATAATTCACTAACCCGAAATTTAAATGCAGAAACTATTATAAGCAAAAGATAACAAAAAGATCAAATACCATCAAAAACAAGAGGAAAACACATGTCTGAATTTCCGAAATATTTGTTCATGCTTAGGTAACTTGAATAAGTCACCATTAAGCTGCTATTTTCTTTTTTAATATCATAACGGTCATAATCTTACATGATTGAAAAGTGTATCATAACTTAACATTAGGAGAGAGTGATATATTTACAAAATGACCCCACTGCAGCTTTAAAAGTGATATATTTGTAGAAATATATATATTTGTTATTTGTATATTTAAATCTTGATATAGTAATAGTGGTTTATGCTGGTTGAGTAGGCGAGTGCAGTATGACCGTACAAGTTGTCTCCCTTTAATTCCATGGGTTACCATTGATAAAGGGACAAAGTGAAGTAAGAGCCTTATCAATATCACTTAAAATAAATGTCCATTAATTATAAACAAAGAGAGTAGACGCGTGTAAGTGTGAAACGGTGGTGATGCCATATTTGTTAATCGAAATTACTTTTAACAGTATAAGGGCGTATGCGACAAGAAAAAAATAACTATTTTAGGTTACGAGACGAACCATAACAAATTGCTCACTCGGTATAACGTACCCCATATCCCCATGGTGCTGTGCCACTTTTCAGATATGTGTTAAATACTCTTGATTATTTAAGTCACTGACAAATAGTCCTGAATCAGAAAACCCAGCGATTGACAACCATCAGTATCGCTCTACGTCATTGGGATAAGATGTCATCAATAAATCTCCAGGGGATTATCTCGACTATAGTGGAGAGTTATCGTAACGTATACCCTGGAGATTATCGAGGATGACTTTATTGATGACATCTTATCCCAATGACGTAGAGCGATACTGATGGTTGTCAATCGCTGGGTTTTCTGATTCAGGACCACCGGCTCCTGTAACTAAGTCACTTCTTACGACACTCTTTGTGTTCTGCAACCCGAAACTTAGAATTCATGAATGTGTGTTAAACATTAAACACCAAAAGTAGCTAGTCAGTTTTGTACAGCCCATGCCACATGTGTGTTGGGAACACATCTCTTTGTGAGAAAGTTTTTATCACAGAATATCAAAATTATTTCATGATTACAAATAAAGGATAAATGTTATTAAACAGAGTTCAGGTTGTACGTACATGAAAGCATTTTGTGTGTGTTGGCGGATCCAGGTTGGGTGTGTGGGGTGGGTGGGTGGGGTTGTTTCGGACCCCCTACTTCTACTGCTGCTATAACTAGTACTAGTACCACTATTATTACTACATACCACGTTAGCAATGTGTTCATCTTATAAGTTAAGTCATAAATAATTTTACCATATGCCACCGAACTTATTCATTGTCGTTTTGAAGTATCATTTCTACGCAGTAAAAAATGTCATTTGGAGAAATAGAATTTGTAATAATATTTTAATATAATATCATGTACCGAATGTATAAATAATACTTTAACGATATACATAAATCGGGTTTATCTTACGCTACGAAAACAATCTTAGCAATCGATTTGAACTACCTCTTTAACGTAGTAAAAATATCATTTAAAGACAAAAAGTTATCAGTGTCAAAAACAACCAATATTTAACATATTCATGAATATAAAAATATACATTTAAAATAAGCATATCATAATGATATTAAGCCACCGTTT